TAAATAAGGGCCCCTTAATTAGTGTAGGCCCTAGGGCCCCTGTTATATGAAAGACGGCCCTGATTATAACGCTATAATTAAAATATTATTAGGTGTACAAGAGTATTTGTAATACTCTTTATAAAGAGTATTTCAGTATCTGTTCTAATAACATCTAGAATGATTTTATTCTTAATGTCAAGAAGAAAAATTTTTTTTAATTTTGAACATTGAACAAATGTACAACAAAGACAAAAATTGTATATGTAGTATTCGTTTATAATATTACGAATATTAACATTTTATAAAAAAAAATTACATAAATTATTTTTGTATAATTCGATTCTTTATCTTAAATATGAAAATATATATAATACTATATTAACTTTTTTTAATATTTTCATATTTAAGATAAAGAATCGAATTATACAAAAATAATTTATGTAAATCGGTGTCGAAACATTTGTTTAATTTTTATATTCTTTATTCTTCAACTGTAATTAATTTATTTCGGCTCATTGCCCGTGAAATTATATTTATTTTCATTTATTACTATCGAGCCTTCTCTTAATGTTATTATTATTTTAATATAGGAGTATTAAAATGTAACAAAAATTATGTTACAAAGCACAATTTTGTATTCTAGTTTAGCATATTTTGACATAGCATACACATATACATATATATAAAAAATCCTTATATCGGAAATTATTAAACTCTTATTTATTTAATATAAATACGAAGCCTATGACAGTCTAGCTTCGATCTTAGTTACTTATATATAATTTCGCGTAAATTTATATACTAATATGTGTAGTCTTTTTAAATTGCACGCCGAACATTAGTCGGTCTTGAAACTGTAATAAACTACCGCGTAGTACTAACACGAATTAAATTGATTAAAAATTTAATAATTAATTGATGCTCTCTTTTTTGTATATCGATGTTAAATTTGTTAAAACTGATTTTATTTATTTATTTCTTTATTTTTTACATCGTTATATTAATATTTCATTTTAAATTATTTTTATACAATTATAAGATAAACAAAAAGATAGATACTAAACAATACAAAATCTGAAAAAAGTATTTAATTTTGCAATATTTATACTAAAAATTAAAATGTACATCTACATAATTATAAATTATTCCTTCAAATGCGAAGAACAGACAGAATATAATAGAAAAATTATGAAAATAAATTAATATATAGTATAGAGATATGTATTCAATTACATTAAAAAAAATATTTAATAATATAAGCAGGATATACTTATATGTATATATGACTGCTCCTTTAATTTTAATAAGAGTTCATTATATAGAAATATTTTATATTATTATATTGTAATATTTGGACATAAAGAAGCGGTTTGTATCGCGCACAATGATTTAAATGAGTTAAATTATTAAAACTTTATTGTGCGAGCTTAATTTATCAATTCAGTTGTATCACGGATATAACACTATATCCGTGAGTTGTATATGTACATGTTTGTATATTACTACATATAAATTGTAAGAAATAGATCGCGCATCAGAGTTGAGCCAATCAAGATAAAGCTCCTCTGTCTTGATTGGCTGAATTCCGATGCGCGAACCGCAATCTCATTCCGATCTGCGTCCGCAATCCGTAATATGACACGAGCTTATGGCTGGTCTACATAGAAGTCGTAGACGATCGTGGAGTCTTAAATCGTACGAAACTACCCAATCACAATCAAATATAAGAAATAAACTCGAATGGTCAATTTTTTACAATTTGAGGTCTTACGATTGTTACAACTTTTATGTAGAATAGCCCTTACGGACTCCGCAGTTCGCAGTACGACACTGGCTTTAAGTCATAGCCGATTCGCGCGAAATCTCGATAACATAATAAACAAACTAATATATTGCTAAACAAAGAGAAATGTAAACATGAAAAAAGGACATTATAGTACAGAAGATAAGGTAAGAGAAGGAGTGTTATATTATATTATGAAAATTTAATAGAATAAAGATTTATTTTTAGTTTTGACGTGGAACGGTTAACACAATATCTTTCAAATATGGACTCGCTTACTTCAAATGATCCATATTCTTGTGTAAAACCAGGTATTTTAATTACGGAATTTTGTGAGAATATAATATTAAGCATTTATATATAGTATGCTTTTCTTGACTGACTAGAAATATATAAAACGTAGGACAAGAATGGTTTTACTTGCATATTTTCAAAAAGTAAAACTGTCATGCATATTTTAGACATATTTTTTAATTATTTGATTGTATGACTTGTAGTATTATATCTTCTTATATATACAATAATATATATTAAATAATACAACGTTTTTAATACCTTTCGTAAAAACAATACGAAATTGTGTACAATATTATGTTTTTAAAAACGTTATATTATATTTCGTATATACTTTATGTTTAACGTATATTATATCTATAATAAGTATTTGAATATTTTTGGAACCTTTGTTTACCAATATCTTTTAATTATTAGATGATGCTAAAGTAGTTCATACCGATTTAGATTTATTCATCGATTTTGATGAAACAGTTATTCACGGAAAGGCAGTTTTGTTCATAAAATCCAAAGCTGATTGTGACAGAATAGTTAGTAAACTTTTCCTTTTTTTATACAGTTTCTCCATTTTTTGAAATAAATACATAATATCGAACGATTAGCTTTTAGATACCTACGGATTCCAGGAAGATAAGATAACTGTCAAGGACGATGTTACTGGTAATGCTTTAGTATATAAAATTAATAAATGTATTGATAATATTGGAAGTGAGGCATTTCTTATTATGTTACCGCGGACATTAAGAAATGATGAAAAGCTACATGACTATAAAGATACCCTTGATAAGATTCATTTTCTGTATAAGTAAGTATAAAATCTTTTTCAAAAATTACAAATTTTAGAAAACATTGATACCAATATTTCATATGTATCACGATATACTATACATACATTTTGCAGTTATAGAATTCTGATTGAGTATAAAACGCGTAAAGATTCCCTTGCACTGTATTGGCTAAGAAGGGATCAAACTTCTGATGGCACACATCCTTTCCTATTAACTAACAATCAAGTAAGCTATAAACGTACAATAAATGGACATTAAATTCTATTAATGTGTACAGTATTAATTACTCAATTTTTAGTTTACATATGCTAGAGGCATATTTCCCTGCCAAGATTCACCGCAGGTCAGATTTACATACACTGCTGAGGTAAGAAATTACGTAGATAACATTTGTATTGATTTTGCACACGCTCGTATGCAATATTAATAAAAAAACGTTGGATACATGTGTGTGTAGTATTCCGCACAAAGCGGATGAATCATCTACTAGAGATTAACGTTTGAAGTTGGAGCGCACTTTCTTAAAATACACGGGTTTTGAATTTTCTATTCCTAAACATTCCTAACGATTGACACATAACTTCGTTAATTTCACGAAATTTGTTGATCTCAGAAAATTTTGACATAAAGAAAGTTGTTAGCACATTGTTGTAGCACAATTTAGCACAACTAAAAAAATCAATATAATTGCCTCTACTTTATTCAGTGTTCGTCTCACATCAACTACACTTCTTATTTTTTTAATAAAAAATATTTTGGCGTGAAATATTCAAGTTTAATTTATTTTAGCAGACTTCATAATTAATAAATATTAGAATATTTTTAAGACCGCAATTGATAAACATCAACAAGAAGAAGGGAAATTACTGATTTTACAATTATAAATTTCTTCACTGAGAGAGAGAAAGTGAGATGTTGTTCAACGATAAAGTACTTTTTTATTATCGATATATAGATGACTTATGTGCGATTGTTTCTACATCTAATATTGAGTCGGGTTTTTGACAGCATTTAATTCTTTCCATCCACGATTTCAATTACTCTTGGAAGTGGGAGGAGATTCGTTGAATTTCTTAGATATCGCAATATGATTATTAAAGAGAATCGGTTGATATTTAATTGGTATCATAAACCTACTTTTTCGGGTAAATTTTTGAATTTTTATTCTGGTCACCCACTTTCTCAAAAGAAGAGTGTTATTTTTGGATTAGTAGAAAGTAACCGTATACGTTATATTATTTCTTCTAAATCGGTGATAACTGATCATAGATTACAACAGGGACATGACTTTGATTGGTCTTAAAAATATACGGGGTCTTAAAAAGGTTTTAGTATTTAATAATATATACCTTCTTATATTTTTGTAAAAACATTTATTATTTCAAGGTTTCGTTATTTTTTAAAATAATATCAATAATTATTAATCAAGCATCTCTGTGATAAAAATATTCCAGGTGATCGAAGTGCCTGTTCAGGATGGAACAGGAACTTTGTTCACTTGGAGTATTTTTACTATTTCTAGAAATATGAAAATAATTTAATTATAAAAGTTGTATAGCATCAAAAGAGCAACAATATATTGTCTAATGTAGCAACTTTATACATTGTTGATGATCAGTAAATAAGCTTTATCGACATTCCGTGTCTTTGTGAATTCAATTCGTTCGTTTCTTGATAAAGAGTATTTCAGAAATTAATCTTTTACTTCGATATGGCTCTTCTTATAGAATTCCGACAGCATCCAGGTTAAAAACGTGAATATAATGTAATCTGTGGTGTGTAGTGACTAACTTGTAATGACTGACTTTATTAAATTTATTCCATTTTTTAACATAAAAATTTTATTTCTTTAACAATTATTATTTAATTATATACAGAGGTCATCATATTTAGTTTTTATTAATTTAATTGTTTTTTCTAGATTTCTGTACCTAAAGCAATCAGAGTTATAGTGGGTGGACGTCGATGTAAAAGTATAATAAAGGGAAACCCAGACCGTTATACTCACTTATTTTATGAAACGAATCCAATGCCATCATATGCAATAATCATTGTGGCGGGTTTACTAAGATTACACAATTTTAATCGTTCAAAGATCGTCACTTTGTGGGCTGAGGAGAAACATTTTGAGCAAAGTACAAGAGTATTGAACTTTTGTAAACATGCCATCGACATTGCTAATGAGCTATGTGGTTTTCCTATTCAAGGTAAATTATTATTATAATATAACTAAAATTAACACTCATAACTAAAAGTAACACTTAACAGTTATAACTAAAAGTAACACTTAACAAAATATTGGCATATTAGAGATAACATTTAATATTGTAAGATGTTCGTTTGATATTAATATTAATGCCAACATGATGTGGATATAACCACAAAAAAGTAACTCTATAACAGTAACTTCGTTACAAGTAACGAGTTACTTCCCATCCCTGTATTTAATATATGATACGATGATTTTTGATGAAGTTACTTTTACACAAAATGTACCTATTTTTGGAGGATGAAGCACGTAACGTTTTAATTTTGTTGAGTAGTATAATATTAAACAATCTGAAATTTTCATAATTTATTAAATTATTTCAAGTTATATGTACAACAAATTCGTTAATTATCAGTCCTGTATTCATAATCTTATTATTCATAAATGTATATTAAAAATGATAATTGTAGAGGAATACAATATATGTGTGCTTCCATCAAATATCCCAGAAATTGAACTACAATGTCGTACCATGATATTTGTGTCATCAACATTACTAGACGAAGATCCCGTTTTCATGTATAATACGATTGCTCGAAAAATTGCCCAAAGCTGGGCAGGAGGTTTAGTTACTTGTAAAAATTTCCAACATTTGTGGTTAATTAAAGGTTTTAGTATATTTATTTCTAGTGAAATCTTGCAATCTAAGTATCTTCCTGAAACAGACGAAATAACATTTATGCGAAGAAGAATCTTTACTGATCTTAGTGTTAAGGTAAATTACAATAATTTTATTTAAATAGAAAATGTTAAAATAAAAACTATATGTTGAATAGATTGATTGATAATAACAATTTACATTCTTACAAGTTTATAGGATTACGGACTTTATAAGTAAATTAATATATAATTTGCACTTACACATATATGCATTTGTAATGCTACATTCAATTCTCCATTTCTACTTCATTATTTCTTATACTGTGTGCACTAACATTACAGATGAGACTATATGGTGTTGATTCTCAACAGAAATTAGTACCTTCTTTGACTGATATTTTGCCAAAGAACATTTCAAAATCCGTACCTGACGAAGTTGGATATTATCTATTGGATTCCTTACGAAATGACTTAGGGGGATCAACAGTGTTTGCACAATATCTTAAGCATTATATGAGAACATTTTGTTATCAAAGTATAGACACTATTGATTACGATTGGATGGTTAATCTGTTTTCTTATTTTGATAGCAAACATGAGGTAACATCTTTTCGTATAAAGAAAAAATAATGAGAATCTTTCAGTAACTTTTATTCATTAAATTAATGAACAATAATTTTTTATATTTATTAGATATTAATATCTAGATTGGATAAGTGGCTTTACAAATTGAATTTAGCTTCTATGTATAACCGTCTGTATTCTTCAGTGCAGAATCAATGTGATATATTAATACAACAGTGGATCACGACAAATACGACTGACAATTTTTCTTCCGTGTTGACTGAAATATTATTATGTGAAAATATTAATAAAATGTATTTCTTAAATTACTTATATGCATCGCCGATAGCTTTACCGATTGGAAAATTAATGTGCATAGACTGTATATTTCCATTTGGGAAGCAAACATGTCAAATTCGGTAAACACGATAATCTATATTTAGACTGATATGCAATTAGGCAACACTTATATTTCACATATATTTTGTAGGTTCCTTTTGTTACGTTTGTACATAAGAAATAAATGGTTAAAAATGGTTTACAATGCTTTGGAATTTGCCCGCGAATATTGTGCGTCAACATTTGCGTCTCCAATATTTCACGATTTGTACAAATTGGAAGAGACGCGTGGATTAGCGATCTCAGAGTTTACAGCTATTGTAGGAAAGAAGTCCAAGATGCTTCCACAAACTATGGAGGATATAGCATCTGTTCTTAACATTAATTTAAAGGATATATATAAATTGACAAGTGAAGAAAGTACTTTGCATGTAAGAACTGACCAATAATATTTGAAGTAAAGAAAAATCGAAATGTGTTTGTCTAAAGCTCAATTTCTTCACTTTCAAACAACCTTTATCCAGAAGAGATCTCCTAGAATAGAATACGTAAATAATGTTATCTGTAACTTATCATGAAATGAAGAACTTGAGCATAAATGAGATACAACAAACAATGTAATAGTATACATGAAATATTACACGTACTAATATTTAATGTAAATTATTTGTACATTGGTTAAGCTATATTTTTTAATTAGCCATGTACATATATGTATAAAATGTTCTGTATGCACTGTGCCCGCAAACGTTCCCGGATCATTTGGATATTTACTAAATGATTCGAGATATTGGATCGAAATTATAGATATACAATGGGATCATAAAATCTATCACTGATCCTCAAAAGCACTCGCCAATAAATATAGGGTTTCGGATAGATTTCCCAATCATCTTGATATATGTTGACAAAGTCATGTTCTTGAGGTTTAAATTTTAACCGTTTGACCTTATTCACATATTAAAAAGTTTCGAACATAAAAAGTTGAAGAAATAATATCTCTTATTTGTTACATAAGCCAACAGCCGCACGATGAAATGATGCTAAAAACACACTTTCGGCGTGTTTTTACTCGAAATGAAAGAATCTGACAAAAATAGCGACGGTTGGCCTTGTGAACCGAGATACTAACAATAAATATAAAAGTTCAAGATCTTACGGATTAAGATTTCTATCATTCTGACTCGCTTTAGAACTCTGTATACTGTCCATTCTTTTAACTGCTTTAAAATACAAAATCACTTCTTTATATATAAAGCCATCCACCTAAATATTCTCGGGGGAGTGGAGAGAAGGAGGCTAGAAAATCTTAAATGGCAAATGGGATCGAATGCAGGCACCCGAAAGGACATTTGAAAGGGCTTTTCGAGACAAGAACAACACGCACTGACCGAGGTCTCTAAGATTTTTTTTCGCAAAGTTAAGATTATTTGAACATTGTTATTCAGATGTATTGGAATTGAAAGTTACAATACTGCCGGCCTTAGCATTACCCTATCTGATTTCAAAATTTACTGTTTCTGAAAAACCGGTTTAATTAAAGATGAACCAAGATGAGCGGGCGCTCGCGTACACGCAGGCACACACACACGCCACCTTCCCTCCTCTCCCTCAAGAATGGTACAGTGGATATTTTTTGAGGTTCAACGATAGATTTTTTATTCCGTTGTATTAATTTTAATCCTATATTTTGAACCGTTCAGAAATTATTCAGGTAGCCCGAGACTTTTGGCCCAATCATTGTATATATTAGTAAAAAATAGATAAGTTTTCTTTTTCTTATATAATCTCTGTCCGTATATATAGGATAAATAAGATGAAAAATTATTTAGAACATTTACGCATTTTTTGTCAATAAAGAATTTGTGGTTATGTAATGTAATTAATACACAATGTGTAAGAATGTATATACATTGGTATGTACTGAATATATAATATGTGTATATATATATAATGAAAGACTACACAAATCAGTATATAAATTCACGCTAAATTACACACACACACACACACATATATATATATATAAGTAATTAAGATCCGAAAGCTAGACTGTATAGCCTTCGTATTCGTATTAGTTATGTTCGCACATTGACAGAGTTTAGATTTGAATATTCTATATATGTAATTATATATGTAGATATATGGATAATTTTTCTCGTTCTCATAGCTTTACCTTTGTTTAAAAAAACACAATGCAAATGTTATACTAACAATTAGATAGTTAATAGTTTTTTATTTTTTGTTGAAAATTATATCTTTCTACATATTACACAAGATGAGATTATATCGAAAAAGAAAACAAATACATATAAGAATAAAAGTCGCCGATACTGCCATAGGTCTAATATAGTGACACTCGCTTATTTCTCAGAAACTGACCTTTATACCTTATTAATATTAATTAAAACGTGATGTATTTAGCTGATTAAAGAAATATAAACTCATAATTCATACATTTGTTCTATTTATACGAGACCAAATCAGTTAAAAATAAATTCTACAAATTCGAGAAAAAAATTTTTACGATATTCTTTTGCAAATTGCGTTATTTAATTAATGATGACTGTACTATTTATAACATTACGATATTTTAAATGCTTATAGTTTCATAGGTTTTAGTTTTCTTTATATTTAGTTTTCTTTATAGAATAGAATATATCTTTATCCTGCAGAATAGGTATATAAGCATTACTGTCTATTATGTCAACTTCGGAGCCCATTTTACCAGACCGTCATTTTTATTTATCTTACGGAAAACTTAATTATTGTAAAATTGCAAACATTATTATAAAAATTGCTTGTACTATCTGATAGAAGACACTTTACGTATGTTCGCTTTGTACCGCACCTTTATTAATAATAAATCAGTTACTTTTTATGATAATATATTATTATTAGATAAAAAGGTTTAAATTTTTTAATATCTTTTTTGAACATGGCTTGAACTTTTCATTTTTATGACATCCTTTTCGGATATCATATACTTTTTAGAGTACAAATATATCACAAGTATATAAAAAAATGATTTAAAAATATTGTATAACGAAAGAGAGTGAAATACGACGAAAGAAAGGGGTGGTGGGGGTGGGAGGTGGAGGAGGGGAGGGAGGGATGAGGGGTTGCGGTCGGTCGAAGATGGTGAAGGTGTCAGTGAAAGGTGAGAGAGATAGAAGAGGGGATATTAGAAAGTTTTAATACGGCCTTGAATGCGGACAGAACAGAAGAAGGAGATTAACTAACCTATTAACTAACAATCAAGTAAGCTATCAATGTACAATAAATGAACATTAAATTCTATTAATGTGAACAGTATTAATTACTCAATTTTTAGTTTACAAATGCTAGAGGCATATTTTCCTGCCAAGATTCGCCGAAGATCAGATTTACATACACTGCTAAGGTAAAAAATTACGTAGATATCATTTGTATTGATTTTGCACACGCACGTATGCAATATTAACAAAAAACATTCGATACATGTGTGTGTACTATTCCGCACATAGCGAATGAATCATCTACTAGAGATTAAAGTTTGAAGTTGGTCCCGCATTTTCTCAAAATACACGGGTTCTGAGTTTTCTATTCCTAAACGTTCCTAACGGTTGTGACGCATAACTTCGTTAATTTCAAGAAATCAGTGGATCTCAGAAAATTTTGACATAAAGAAAGTTGTCAGCACATTTTGTTGTAGCACAATTTAGCACAACTAAAAAAATCAATATAATTGCCTCTATTGTATTCAGTGTTCGTCTCAAATCAACTACACTTATTATTTTTTTAATAAAAAATATTTTAGCGTGAAATATTAAAGATTAATTTATTTTAGCAGACTTTATAGTTAATAAATATTAGAATATTGTTAAAACCGCAAATAATAAACATTAACAAGAAGAAGGAATCCAATGACGGTCAAAGCTGGATCACAATGCTTATTATAGTTATGTGTGAATTTTATATACTGCGTATGTAGTCCCCCCATATATAAATCGCGACGCTGAAGTCTTCAGCCTTGACAAATAAGATCCAATAAGATGCAATAAGCATAAAAAATAGTTAGATTGCTTGTCAATTTAACTAAAGTGATATGACTGCGATAGTTGTTTAGTGTTGCGTTGTAAGTCTGAAGAAATTTCGGCACGCGATTTAGGGGACTTCATACGCAGTATATAAAATTAACACATAATTTTAATAAGTATTTCTGATCTAGCTTTGACCATTATTGGCTTTCTTCTCCTTGTTTGTTTATTGTTTATCAATTGTCGGTCTCAAAAAGTTTTTAGTATTTAATAATATATATCTTTTTATATTTTTGTAAAAAGATTTATTATTTCAAGGTTTTGTTATTTTTTAAAATAAAATCGGTAATTATTAATGGAGCATCTCTGTGATAAAAATATTCCAGGTGAACAAAGTGCCTGTTCAGGATTAGGGATGTGCGATCTCCATTAATTGTATCGATTTTTGAATCGATTTAGAATCGGATTGTTTGAAATCGATCTAGTAAAAGTTGTATAGCATCAAAAGAGCAACAATATACTGTCTAATGTAGCAACTTTAGTGAACCCGCCATAATGATTATTGCAGGGAATGGAAAGTTATTTTTTAAAAGTAACTAGTTACAGTTACTCGTTACCCAGTAAAAAATGTAACTAGTTACAGTTACAGTTATCGCTTTTTAAAAGTAACTCGTTACAGTTACCGTTACTTGAAAAATAACTTTTCGTTACTTTTCCGTTACTTTTTTAAAATCAATTTAAAAATGTACTTTTGCATTTTTTTTTTATATGTAATACTGACAAATATATAGTTTTAATTAAAAAAAAAAAACAATGTAGAATGGCTCAAATAATAAATTAAATAAAAGTAAAATGAGAAGGGTTACGAGCCAAAAATGAAACAGTTTATTTCCGATAAGAACGACGATGACAATGTAATTAAATGTATAAATATATATTAGAACAATACATAGATAAAACAAGATAAAAACAAACGACGTTTCGACACTTATTGTCATCGTCTTTTAAACTGTTTCGCTTTTGGGTTCATAGCCCTTCTCATTTTACTATTATTTAATTTATTTTTTAATTTTTTTTAAACACAATTTTGTAATTCTAAAACCTGTAAAATATGCAGCAAACTGAAATATTTGTATGTCCTATGTATTACATAGAAGATAGAAGTGTAAAATAATTACTGAATCATAACGGCCGAATGTCTATAAGGGCTTTCAAGTCTTATTGATAAGCGTTATAAATAGCATGTATCCAATCGAACCGTGTTCAATCGTGTGCAAAGTAACGACAAAAGTAACTGTAAATTTCGTTACAGTTACCCAAAAAATGTAACTCGTTACCGTTACAGTTACCAAAAAAAGAAAGTAACGCAGTTACCAGTAAAGTTACCAAAAAAGTAACTTGTAACTGTAACTTCGTTACAAGTAACGAGTTACTTCCATTCCCTGGATTATTGTATATGATGGCATCGGATTCGTTTCATTAAAAAAGTGACTGTCACGGTCTTCCAAATATTGCATTGTTAGTGATTAGTAAATAAGCTTTGTCGACATTCCGTGTCTTTGTTAATTCAATTCGTTTGTTTCTTAATGAAGAGTATTTCAGAAAATAATCTATTACGTAGATATGGCTCTTCTTCTAGAATTTCGACAGCATCTATAGATTAAAAACGTGAATATAATATAATCTGTGGTGTGTATAGTGACTAACTTGTAATGACTGACTTTATTAAATTTATTCCATTTTTTAATATAAAAGTTTTATTTGTTCATCAATTATTATTTAATTGTATACAGAGGTCATCATATTTAGTTCTTATTAATTTAATTTTTTTTTCTAGATTTCTGTACCTAAAACAATCAAGGTCATAGTCGGTGGTCTTCAATCTAAATCTACAATGAAATATTCGGAAGACCGTGACAGTCACTTCTTTTATGAAACGAATCCAATGCCATCATATACAATAATCATTATGGCGGGTTCATTAAAGTCAATAGATGATAATTATTTTAGCAGTCTCATCAGTAATCTCAAAATCACTTTGTGAGCTGAGGAAAACCAATTTGCGAAAAGTGAAATAGTATTGAAATTTTGTAGAAATGCCATCAATACTACTAATGATCTATGTGATTTTCCTATTCAAGGTAAATTATTATTATAATATCGGTATAATTCAAATTAAATTTAATATACCAGGTCAAGAACGGACAGTTTCGACTTTACAAAGTCCTCAACAGCCGCAACCGAATACTTAAAATTAATTTAGTATATTGCGAAGAATATCACAAGTTGGCGTTTCGTCCCGGCTTCCACTACTGGACTCATCAGTAAGGTAATGTAGTGGGAGCCTACCTTAGACGCCTGTTTTAGTTCTTAAATCGAGATTCTATATATACCGATATGCGCATATTTCAGCACTTGCGAGAAACTTTACGAATATCCATAGACCTCTGCTGGCGAGTCGACGTAGTAATATTCTTCGCAATATTTTCAAGTAATAGACGTTGAAAGGTTCCCCCAAATTGCGCGCCGAACACAGCCGGTCTTTAAAACGCAACTATAATAATTTGAAATAAACTCCCCTTAATTATTTCCCCACGCATTGTGAGACCAGCGTACAACAAATTAAATTAAATTAATATCCGCTCAAATAAATTTCCAAATTAAATTTAATATACCTCCCAGGTCAAGAACACATTGAGCTTATACTAGATGTTAGAAATATATATAAATTTATTATAATACCGGTATATACCGGTATATAAATCTATCCGAAATTTTCAAAATTTGTTAAATTATTTCAAGTTATATGTAAAACAAATTCGTTAATTATTCGTTATTATAGTCCTGTATTCTTAATCTTATTATTAATAGATGTATATTAAAAATGATAATTGTAGATGAATACAATATATGTGTGCTTCCATCAAATATCCCAGAAATTAAACTACAATGTCGTACCATGATATTTGTGTCATCAACATTACTTGATGAAGATCCCATTTTCATGTATGATACGATTGCTCGAAAAATTGCCCAAAACTGGGCAGGAGGTTTAGTCACTTGTAAAAATTTCCAACATTTGTGGTTGATTAAAAGTTTTAGTATATTCATTTCTAGTGAAATCTTTGATCGTATATATAGTCCTGAAGCAGATGAAGTAACATTTATGCGAAGAAGAATTTTTAATGATCTTGCTCTTAAGGTATGTTACTAAAATTTTTTTTAGATGAAGAATGTTGAAATTAAAATTATATGTTATATAGTTTGGTTGAATATAACTTTTACAAGTTTATAGAATTACACACTTTCTAAATATATATTAATATATAGTTTGCACTTACACATACGTGTATGCATTTGTACTGCTATATACTCCATTCCTATTTCATTATTCTTTATATTGTACTAACATTACAGATAAGTCTATATGATATTGATTCTCAACAGAAACTAGTACCTTCATTGACAGATATTTTGCCGAAAGACATTACGAAGTACGTACCTGATGAAGTTGGCTATTATCTATTGAGTTGCTTACAACAAAACTTAGGGGGATCAACAGTATTTGTACCATATCTTAAGTGTTATATGAAAAATTTTCGATACAAAAGTATAAGCACTACTGATTGGGGAAATGATCTATTTTCTTATTTTGGTAGCAAACATGAGGTAACATCTTTTCGTGTAAATAAAAAATAAGAGAATTTTTCAGTAACTTTTTTTCATTAAATTAATGAATAATAATTTTTTGTATTTATTAGGTATTAAGATCTATATTAGATACGTGGATTTATAAATTGAATTTAGTTGTATGTGTCACCATCTGTATTATTCAGTGCAAAGTAATTGTGACTTATTAGCAGAAGAGTGGAGAAGAACGTCAAAAAATTTTTTCCCTTTGTTGAATACAATAAAATTATTTAGCAAAATTAATAGAATAGTTTTCTTAACTTGCTTATATCAATCGTCTGTGAGTCTACCGATTGGAAAGTTAAAGTGGCTACATCGTACATTTCCATTTGATGAGCAAACATGTCAAACTCGGTAAATACGATTATCTATATTTAGACTGATATGCAATTAGGCAACACGTATATTTCACACGTATTTTGTAGGTTCCTCTTGCTACGTTTGTACATAAAAAATAAATGGTTAGAAATGGTTTACCCTGCTTTGAAATTTGCCCGCGGGTATTGTGCGTCAACGTTTGCGTGTCCAATATTTCGCGAATTGTATGAATTGGAACAGACGCGTTACTTAGCGATCTCAACGTTTACAGCTATTGTGGAAAAGAAGTGCAAGATGCTCCCCCAAACTATGGAAGATGTGGCCATTCTTAAAATTAGTTTAAAGGATATATATAAATTAACAAGTGAAAATTGTACTTTGCATATAAGAACGGGACAATAATGTTTGAAATTAAGAAAAAAAAATCGAAATTAGTTTGTCTAGAGCTCAGTTTCTTCACCTCTTCGCGACCTTTCTGCAGAAGAGATTTCCTAGAATAACATACCTGGATAATTCTATAAGAGACTTGTAGCGTCTCTTAGTTTTTGGACATGGCCCGAGACGCTGCCGCGTCTCCTGATCCGTATTTTATCTGTAAATGAAGAAATTGGACATTAAGGGGAAAGAAAGTAATTGTATACACCAAATATTACACAAACTAATATTTGATTGTAATTATTTGTATGTTGACTATGCTAATCAATCAGGGGATGGAAGTAACTCATTTCTTGTAACGAAGTTACAGTTACAAGTTACCTTTTTGGTAACTTTACTGGTAACTGCGTAACTTTCTTTTTTTGGTATTTTTGGTGTCTTTGGTGACCTTAGGTGGCTTTACCAAGGTCATATCAAGGTCACTGATATAATCAATAAATAGATCTTTTGGAACCCCACAACTTTGGTCTGAACATATTTTCGATTGGATCTCATCCTGCGGAGATAAAAAGGGTGTACGGGTGGTCTAAGACACCCTGTATATATTGCTTTTATTAACGTTTAAACAAAAAATACTGCTAAAGTACATTTTCAGATTGATTTCAATAATTTTTATTAAATGTGTATATGTACATAAATATATTTCTAACAATATTTATTGAACAAGCATAATTTGTAACACAGAGAAATAAGAAGCGGAGACTTTCAAAACATTTTTGAAACTATTAAGATCCAAAATATAGAATTTACCTACTTTTATACAAACGGGTACATTAGCACGAGCTATTATAAAACATACATCTCGCAGAATATTTGTAGGCAAATTGTACCATTTACTTAAATAAATAGCGTGAGAAATTGCTTGCGTTTTTGATGACAGAGTTTCTCCCATATAGCTGTATAAGAACAGCTGTATCATTAATATATTAATAGAGGTTATACTTCTCGTGACAAGAACAAAGTCACTATTTACCAACGATACAATAAGCTGTAATCCTAAAAAATACTCGATATTTAATTTGTAAATTAAACGAACTTGATGAAGTTCGATCTTAATTATGTTTCGTCTCATTCGGATGAACAACTATGTACCTAGTTATACGTCTTCGTGCTCGCATTACCAACAGAGTTCACAGAACCCCAGGACTAACTAACTGGCGGCGCTCATGATGTCGGTGGTGCTCTCCGCGCTAATGATCCACCGATCCCACCGCGCTCGTGTCTCATTATTTTAAAGATCTAGAGTAAATCATCCTCTGGGAAGAAAGAAGCGTTTAGGAGCTTGGAGTAAGGGCGGTCCAGCCGGATGAGACAAAGCATAATTAAGATCGAACATAAATAAAAATGAGCATACAGCCACAACGCAAGATGTTATAAGCAAAATCATATATTTAAAAGTAAGATAAAAGTAAATGTTTCGATCAAATTTGATCACCATCGGTACATAAAAATCGATTGTGTGATGTAATGAGAGCACGAAGACGTGACTACATAGTTGTCCATCCGGATGAGACATGGGCATAACTATCTATTTTTGTAACAATTAATTATACAGGGTGCGTCACCAAAATCCGAACAAATCGAAAAATTTCTTGAAAGAAAATGTTTTTAATGAAAAATTAAATATTACAAAAAATCCTTTTACGTGGCACTTGGGGGATTCCTATAGAGCATAATTATTCGATATATCCTCCATTAGCTTGAATGACAGTCTCCATTCTCGGTCTTAAGCGTTCGCACGCACGCTGTAATATAGCGCTGTCCATGCCGACGAATGCTATCTCAATAGCGATCCTTAATGACGTCACATTAGGATGCCGAGACTTGTTAGGGATCCTTTCAACTACGTTCCATACGTAGGAGTCTAAAGGATTTAAATATAGGTTGTTAAGAGGCCAGAATTCCTTGGACCAAAACATATCGACATTGTCTGAGAGCCAATTTTGAATCAAATGACTCGTATGAGCCGGTGAACCGTCCTGTTGAAAAACATGATCTTCCAGACGCCAGTTTTCATCCACGGTTTCACTACATTCATTAGAACGCGCAAATACACTCCTTTTGTGACAATTTCTCCATTTTTAAGTGGTGGCATTACATCACCCCTCCTTCCCCTCACTGAACATGACACTTAGCACGTGAACTTAACAGTGAACATTGGCTGGAAATTTCGTTCTAGGAACAACAGGGATATCCTCGGGGTTGTAGGCGAGCCATCGGTCATTTCTCCGGTTGATTTTGGCATCAACAGTAAAAATTTTTTCGTCAGAAAAGAATCTTTGTCCCAACGCTTCGTTTTTCAAGGAACTGAAATTTTCAATTCAGAGTATATCTTTACTCGACTGTGGGTAAGCCTTGCTACGCTCTTACTAAACAAACTGTACCAACAATTGGGCATGTATTTAAAATACTTTTATTTGAAAATTATAATTGTAAGACAATTGTATCGTGTATTTTGTATTTGAACGGCGTACATAAAAATATTTTGCATTTTATATTTTAAGGAAGTATATAAAAGTATTTTATATTTTGTATTTCAGTATTATTAATGAAAGATTGAAAGTATTTTGTATTTTGTATTTTAAATACTAAGATATTGAA